CCATTTACTCTTGGATGGCCACTTTGAAGGAAATACATGTAAATGTTCAAATATTTTTTCAAAGATAATATTGCAGCAATAGATGCATGCATGTTTTTGGTATAAATGAACTTTCAAACAAGGAACAAATAATTAGAAAAAATATGCACAATGTGTCATGTTTATGGTATCACGACGCTTTTAATACAACATCAAGACTTGAATGTAAGGTGATTCCACACTGTAAATTTGTATTACATATAAAACATTGTTGTTCCTTTTTTATATAAAATTATTGAGAGCAAAGCTCTTAAAATTTACGAACACAATGTGTTTACGGGATATAAAAAGGGGTAGCACCACCTATATTGCACCGACTTAAAATAATCACCTGAACAATTAAGGAAATAACAAACAAAACTGAGTTGTAACAAGTAATGATCACACATTTAAATTATAATAAATAATTGTAATGAAATATCGTACAAAAACACGTTGAATCGATTATATTTTTTAAAAAAATAATGTTTGTTGTTTTTGTTTTGTTTTTGTTTTTTTTGTTGTTTTTTTTTAAATTTTGTCTTACTATAAGATTTATCATTATTAAACAAAATGATAAATGGACTACACCTAAAATGACAAAAGAAATGATATGATTTATGACTATTATAAGTTATAATACTTTTCCACAGCCGGAAATAATCATTTGAGATTCGTCCATAAATCAATAAATCGTGATTAATAATTCTTATTAAATAGTATGTGAGAAGTTAGCAGTTAACAGTGAGCTAAGCAAAAAGGCATTTCGATTTATATAGGGAAATCAATGATCTGCTGTTATGCTCAGCTGGGTAAGCAATCTTACAGAGCATTCCAAAATAAAGTGTAGAAATGCTTTGCTGGTATGCTCAGCTGGGTAAGCAATCTAGCAGGCCATTACTAAATATAGTGTAAAAATGCTCTGCTGGTATATATGCTCAGCTGGCTAGGCAATCTAGCGGGGCGTTCCAAAATATAGCGTAAAAATGCTCTGCTGGTATGCTCAGCTGGCTAGGCAATCTAGCAGGGCATTCCTAAATATAGTGTAAAAAATACTCTGCTGTTATACTCAGCTGGATAAGCAATCCAGCGGGGCATTCCAAAATATAGCGTAAAAAGCACTGCTGTTATGCTCAGCTGGCTAAGCAATCTAGCGGGGCATTCCAAAATATAGTGTAAAAATGCTCTGCTGTTATGCTCAGCTGGCTAAGCAATCTAGCGGGGCTTTCCCAAATAAAGTGTAAAAATGCTCTGCTGGTATGCTCGGCTGGCTAAGCAATCTAGCAGGGCATTCCTAAATATAGTGTAAAAAATACTCCGCTGTAATACTCAGCTGGCTAAGCAATCCAGCGGGGCATTCCAAAATAAAGTGTATAAAGCTCTGCTGTTATGCTTAGCTGGCTAAGCAATCTAGTGGGGCATTCCAAAATATAGCGTAAAAATGCTCTGCTGTTATGCTCAGCTGGCTAAGCAATCTAGCGGGGCATTCCAAAATATAGTGTAAAAAGCTCTGCTGTTATGCTTAGATGGCTAAGCAATCTAGCGGGGCATTCCAAAATACAGTGTAAAAATGCTCTGCTGAATTGCTCAGCTGGCAAGGCAATCTGGAAGGGCATTCCTAAATATAGTGTTAAAAATGCTCAGCTGGCTAGGCAATCCAGCAGAGCATTCCTAAATATAGTGTAAAAATGCTCTGCTGGCAAGCTCAGCTGGCTAAGCAATCTAGCAGAGCGTTCCAAAATAAAGTGCGAAAAATGCTCTGCTGGTATGCTCAGCTAGCTAAGCAATCTAGCAAGGCATTCCTAAATATAGTGTTTAAAATGTTCAGCTGGCTAAGCAATCCAGCAAAGCATTCTGAAAATTAGTGTAAAAATGTACTGCCGGAATGCTAAGCTGTCTAGGCAAACAAGCAGGACATTTTTAAATAAATTATAAATTTCGTTGGTCTGCAACTGATTATTTGGCACTCGTAGACTTTCTAAAATATTTAGTGCCAATGCAGATAATGACATTTTTTACTTCTACGGGACCCTTAAGTGTCTATTTCTTTGGTCTCCGACTGATTCTGGGACGATCGCAGACTTCAGGAATTTTTGGTGATAATGCAGATAATGACATTTGTGAATTTTTAGGACCATCCAGAGTCCATTTCGTTGGTCTGCGAATGTTTCTGGAACACTCGCAGACTTTCAGAAATTTTCGGTGCCAATGGAGATAATGACATTTTTACTTCAAAAGGACCATCCTGAGTCTATTTCGTTGGTCTGCGACTGATTCTGAGTCACTCGCAGACTTTCAGGAATTTTGGTGTCAATGCAGAAAATGATGTTTCTGACTTATTGGGACCTTTCTGAATCCATTTTTTTGGTCTGCGACTGATTCTGAGGCACTCACAGACTTTCAGGAATTTTTGATGTCAAGGCAGATAATGACATTTTTTACTTCTAGGGACCATCCAGAGTCCATTTTTTTGGTCTGCGACTTAATCCTTGACAGTCACAGACTTTCAGGAATTGTTGGTGCCAATAGAGATAATTACAATTTATGACATTTTTTACCATCCAGAGTCTATTTCGTTGGTCTGCGACTGATTATTGGGCACTTGCAGGCTTTCAGGATTTTTTGGTGCTAATGCAGATAATGACATTTTAGGGTAAAAATGCTTTGCTTATGACTAAGGGGTCCTTAAAAGTTAAAAAGTCATGATCTGCAATGGCACTAAACATCCTGAAAGTCTGCGAGTCTCAAGGAATCAGTCGCAGACCCAAGAAATGTACTCTGGCGGATCTCTAAAAGTCAAAAATGTCATTATCTCCATTGGCATCAAAATTCCTGAAAGTCTGCAAGTGTCCCAAAATCAGTCGCAGACCAGCGAAATGAACTCTGGTGGGTCACTAGAAGTCAAAAATGTCATTATCTCCATTGGCACCAGAGATTCCTGAAAGTCTGCGAATGTCCCAAAATCAGTCGCAGACCATAAAAATGGACTCTGGCGGGTCCCTAGAAGTAAAAATTGCCATCATCTCTATTGGCACCAAACTCTCCTGAAAGTCTGCGAATGTCCAACAATACGCTGCAGGCCAATGAAATGGACTCTTAAATGTCCCTAGAAGTCAAAAATATGATTATTTCCATTGGCACCAACCATTCCTGAAAGTCTGCGAGTGTCCAAGAATCAGTCGCAGACGACCAAAATGGACTCTTGAGGGTCCCTAGAAGTCTTAATTGTCAATATCAGCATTGGCACCAAAATTCCTGAAAGTCTGCGAGTGTCCTTCAAAAAGTCGCAGGACAATGAAATAGTCTCTTAAAGGTTCTTAGAAGTCAAAAATATCATTATTTCTATTGGCACCGAAAATACCTGAAAGTCTGCGAGTGCCTCAGAATTGCCTAGAAGTCGAAAAATGTCAATACAACTTTGGCAACAATAAATCCTGGAACTCAGAATTAGTCTGCCAACTGAGCATTCCACCAGGGCATTTTTTAACTATATTTCGGAATGCCCTGCTAGATTGCCTAGCCAGCTTAGCATTTCACCAGAGCATTTTTACACCATATTTAGTAATGCCCTGCTAGATTGCATAGTCAGCTGACATTCCACCAGAGCATTTTTTCACTATATTAAGGAATGCTCTGCTATAGTGCCTAGCCAGCTGAACATTCCACCAGAGCATTTTTACACTATATCTAGTAATGCTCTGCAAGATTGCCTAGCCAGCTGAGCATTCCACCAGAGCATTTTTTCACTATATTAAGGAATGCTCTGCTATAGTGCCTAGCCAGCTGAGCATTCCTGCTGAGCAATTTAACACTTTATTTAGTAATGCCCTGCTAGATTGCTTAGCCGGCTTAGCATTCCAGCAGAGCATTTTTACACTATATTTCGTAATGCTCTGCTAGATTGCCTAGCCAGCTTAGCATTCCACCAGAGCATTTTTACACTATATTTAGGAATGTCCTGCTAGATTGCCAAGCCAGCTTAGCATTCCAGCAGAGCATTTTTTTCACTATATTTAGGAATGCCCTGCTAGATTGCCTTGCCAGCTTAGCATTCCAGCAGAGCATTTTTACACTTTATTTCGTAATGCTCTGCCAGATTGCCTAGCAGCTTAGCATTCCACCAGGGCATTTTTACACTATATTTCGTAATGCTCTGCTAGATTGCCTAGCCAGCTTAGCATTCCAGCAGAGCATTTTTACACTATATTTAGCAATACCCTGCTAGATTGCCTAGCCAGCTTAGCATTCAAGCAGAGCATTTTTAAAATATTTAGTAATGCCCTGCTAAATTGCCTAGCCAGCTTTGCATTCCAGAAAAGCATTTGTTCACTTTATTTAGTAATGCTCTGCTAGATTGCCTAGCCGGCTTAGGATTCCAGCAGAGCATTTTTACACTGTATTTAGTAATGCTCTGCTAGATTTACTAGCCAGCTTAGCATTCCAGCAGAGCATTTTTTTCACTATATTTAGGAATGCCCTGCTAGATTGCCTAGCCAGCTTAGCATTCCATCAGAGCATTTTTACACTATATTTAGTAATGCCCTGCTAGATTTCCTAGCCAGCTTAGCATTCCAGAATAGCATTTGTACACTATATTTAGTAATGTCCTGCTAGATTGCCTAGCCAGCTTAGCATTCCAGAATAGTATTTGTTCACTATATTTAGTAATGTCCTGCTAGATTGCCTAGCCAGCTTAGCATTCCAGCAGAGCATTTTAACACTATATTTAGTAATGCACTGCTAGATTGCCTAACCAGCTGAGCGTTCCAGCAGAGCATTTTTTCACTAAAGCTAGGAATGCTCTGCTAGATTGCCAAGACAGCTGAGTATTGCAGCAGAGCATTTTTACACTATATTTAGGAATGCCCTGCTAGATGCCCAAAACAGCTGAGCATTACAGCAGATCATTACTTTCCCTATATGAATTGAAATGCCTTTTTGCTTAGCTCACTGTTCACTGCTAACTTCTCACATACTATTAAATAGTAGATTAGCATCGTTGATAGAAATCCTCGAGGATAAAAATAAAATTTAAATTATTACTTTCTATATCAACTAAAAAATACATTTTCAAGAATAAACAGAAGCCTTCATTTCACGTGAAATCCAAAGGATTCCATATGAAAAAAATCCTGTATTTTTGTATGGAAATAATAAATTATTATATCTTTCATTTTCCATTATGATAAGTATTATTGGACTTCTTTTTGTTTTTCATCAATGGTACAAAATTTTAACTGTTATGTTCAGCCATAGTGTTGTCTTTTTTTCTTTCAAAAATAAATGTTGTGCTATCATCATAATTTTGATTGGAAACAAATATTTCGTTGTTGTACCATTTTGAATATTTACTGTACTTATCCTTGGTGATTAGACAAAGTTAACAATATTTCATAGTTTAGATATCTTTCCGTTAATGTTTGATTTTTGAGAAAGCTGATTCTTCACGCGGAATGTACGTGCACTGTCAAGAGAAATTTCAGAATCCCGTTCATTATTTTCTTTTTTAAATCTTCGTAGTATTTTAAAACGATCGATAAAAGCGTCTCGAAACTGGCTGTTGTGGCAGACGTAAACCAAAGGGTTCCAGATACAAGCTGTCTTAGCCATTAAACACGGAAGTTGAACAAGCATCGGTGAAATTGTTATCAGGTCCATGTTGAAAAATGACTCAAGAAGGCTCACTACTGCATAAGGCATCCAACTGACAAGAAACGAAACTGAAAGAAGAAAAGGGAAAACAATAGAAGCATTATTAGTTATGCAATATCTAGATTGCTTTAGTTGAACACGATTCTGCCTAAACGTTTGATGATTTAGTTGATGGTTAAACAAGATATGAATGTAATAATGATTCAAATCAGTACTGAGTGTATTTTTTTCTGAGTAGTAAAGTAGAAGTTTGCTTTGTCCTACACTTCTAATGTTTTCTGTATTGCATATTTTTTGCACATAAAATTATAAACTCATTAAAATGATATTTGTAAATTATTACAAAGTTTTTGTCTGTAAATTTTATGCTGAAAATGATAATATTTTTTTTACTATATACTAATTGAAATACCACTACTATCGCTATTCATTCTCTTCTACTTTTGCTACCACCACTACTACTTTTACTACCAATATCAATGTTACAGATAACGATAATAATAAAAATAATAAAAAATGATGATATGTTGATGATGATACAGGAATCATTAAAATCATTTTTCTATTAAAATTATGATTGAGAATTACAACAAGTACATGTACTATATTACTATACTTATATATATTATGAATTTGTATGAATTTGATATTTTAAGTGTACATTTATATACATCATATATATCCACAGTTTTAAGCTAGTGTCTACTGAATGCACTGTTAGCTCTTTACATACATTTAACCTGCTCTTAGTTACCCAATGTAAAAGAATAAACTCTGAACGGTTAATTCGTATATTTTGTTAATCTTGACACGTATGTAACATATCATTGTTCAGATAGTGTACGTAAGTTACAGCAGAAATAATCATCAATGTAGAGTAATTGATTAAAACGGTTGTCGGAATTGTCAGTTTCAAAGAACAACAAATGCATGGCGTCCTTGAGCACTATCGATAAACAGCTGAACGGCTGACTGATATATTGTCTTTTATCAATCAAACATACTACTACGTGTATATGCAAACATTTGACCGATTACATGACAAGTTTATTTTCACAATAAAGTTAGGTTCGGGAAGTTTAATGCTATAATCTCTCTGATCAAGAACGTGCGGTCTTACGTCTTCAAAGGATTCATAGTAACAAATTGATTGATTTAACATAATAGTCGTATGTTAACGATTTATTTATTAATTGAATCAGAAGGGAAAACAAGTCTGCCAATAAAATTCATGATATTACATTTTGTGGTATAATATTTCTATGGAAGAAGTAAGGCTGTGATAAATATTCCATTTACATTAATAGAATAGCTAATAAAATTGTATTGATAATCATTTGAAATTAGACTCGTTCTCTCCTCATTCGTCAATTCTCATTGTTTTATATAATTAATGTACTCACGAATTGTAAGGGCAACTGAAATTGTCACTCGGATATCCCTCCGCACTCGTCGTTGTTGTATCCAAGTAGAATGATTTCTTTTTTCCCGCCATATCTGTAAAAGAATGTGTGTTTCTAATTAAGCATACAACATATGACTAATATATAATATTTCTTAATTAAAAGATCTTGTTTAAGGAACCCTGCGATGGCATTTTTGCAAACCTTCTAAACGAATTTAAGACAAAAAAACCGTTTCAAACTGTGTTTGAACGAAATGTTTAATTTCACGATTTTCCTTTAATTTCACTGAAAATGAAACGATATAAATAAAATACAATTCGCTTTATAAATTTGAAACTCGTATTTTCAAATGCACTTTCCAATTCCACCTGAAAAGTACAACTGAATATTTTTTATAAAATACTGTGACGGACACTCTTAAAAAAGATATTACAAATGTTGTAAAATTGTGAAATGGTATGTCTCTTAATTTTCCGCTCTGGAATATTTGCTTCTTTGAGACACTTGCTTACATGACTGTATAACTTATGGATTCTTCTATTGTCATATTTTTATCAACGAAAAAGGGCATTATTCAATATCATGAATGTATAGAATAAATTCTAACAAGATTTTATCCCTAGAATTTTATTTTTGTTACGGTGTTGATTAAGATAATTTGGTTAAGGGAACTGCTTATGAATTGACATGGCATAAGGGATAATAAATAAAATGTAGATGTTTGATGATAGTTTTATATAGTACAAACCACTGTGAACTAAATAACAACAACATAAATTGAACAATGTCAAACCTATTTTTACATATTTGTAAAAACTACACACATTTACCAAAAAGTCACCATATCTTCGTTAGTTTTGATTTCGAATTTGTAACGTCGTTGATGTTCTAAAGGTGTTGACTATGTAAGTATCACCAACACGATACATGTATGTAAGATAGATAATGAAAGAGCACATAATTACAAGAAAGTTTATGTTTAACGTTTCACTGCAGCATTTATCAAATTAAAACTAAATGTTGGCTTCTCTTAACTTTTTTTCAAATTATAAGGTTATACGTAAATCAGTAATGCTCAAATAAACGAATTGTTTCATCAAAATATTCAAATGCAAAATTTAACAGAAAATCAATGCGTATTTAGTTTAAACATATTTTATTCCTTTCAATTTTTTTACAATATGTACAATGCAAAGATATAGAGAGAAAAATATATAAATACATTTTGAAAGAAAAAGGGTTGGACCACAAGTTCAAATAACATCAGTAAATCGGTCCGTCCCTAAATCAATGCGTGCAATTACGGCATGAAAACAAAATTGCATGCATTTATTTTTGTTAATTAAAATCTTATTGATTGTTAATTTCTATTTTTTTTATGCCATCCTGCAAATGGTTAAACCAGTATCGGTTGTATGAGAGTGTATGACCGTATATTCAACAGTTTTAGTAAATGTATGTTTGATGTACTAATATAGCAATGTCAACTGATAAAAGTTCAATACAAAATGATCATACAACCTGAGGTAATTATTTGCACAATGTCCAGCCTCTACCTCATTATTCTCTATATAATGTTATATACAAAGTAAATAAAGTCATATCCTTGTTATTCGATTGTTGTGTATTGATCACAACCTCTGTTATGTTCTCATTTAGCAGTTGTCCTCCTTATGTTCCATTGGAAATCACTAAATCACTAACATACAATTCTTCTTCATCACGTTGACAAGGAAAGTGTTTGCATTATTAAAACGGTACGATTTATTTTGTTACTTATACATATTATACCAGAAGGCCCCAAAGAAAGCCCGTTTTTCTTCAATTTGTATTGAACATATTTTAAAGGATGTGCACCTTCATTAACAAAAATGATTTAGATGGCTTTAGAACAGTTATATATTGCAGTACATGTACCATGAGATACGCATAGCGGGAAGGGGATTATAGGAATGACTTCCGTCAGTCCGTCCGTAACACTTTCGTGACAGCTCAAAAACTTTTAAACCGCTGAAATGTTTTTGAAATAACTTACCACCATTACAAGACGATGCGCAAAGCGCACTAATTGGGTTGCTGTCCCAAGGTCAAGGTCACACTTGAAGTTCAAGTGTTAAAATGTGTACATTTCGTATCCGCTCCATAACTTTTAAAACGCTGAAAAAAGAAAAACTTGGCACAATTGATCGCCATCATGAAACGATGTGCAATGATTGGTTTGCTACCCCCCAAGGTCAAGGTCACAGTTTAAGGTCAATTGTTAAAAAGTCTACATTAAGGTCAGCTCCATTACTTTTAAACCACTGGATTTTTTTGGAAATAACTTGGCACAAAAGATTACCATTATAAGACGACGTGCAGGGCGCAAAACTTGGGTTGCTACCCCTAAGGTAAAGGTCACACTTTAAATAAAGTCAATGTTAAAAAGTCTACATTTCGTGTCCGCTCCATAACATTTAAACCGCTGAATTCTTTTTTAAATAACCTGCCAGAAATTATCATCATTATGACATTGACATGATGTGCAGAACGCAACATCCAGGTTGCTACCACAAAGGGCAAGGTTAAATATTGTCCATAACTGTTTGACTTTATGAAATATTTTAAATAACTTGGCACAAATAAGTCCGCTGCCGATAAATTCCAATGGATATTTACTTTAATTTTCTAGAGTAATGTTAGTTTTTTATCGTTCATGCTTAGTAAAGTATAAATAGAAAGGAATCATTGGAAAATGTATTTTTTTTTACATTCACCTGTTTACTCATTATATACCCTTGGATCACCAAGACACCAGTTTGCCGGCAATAATGATATAAATGTGATATCACATATTGTATTTTCACATGAAAACAAATGTGACCAGACTGAAAGTACAAATAAATCAATTATCTACCCACAAGTTCCATTATAACCGTAAATTGTCAGCGGGATTTATTTTATAACAGTTTGCTAATCCAATATGTTTCGTGAAATAAAATAACCTCAGACTGTAGAGATTGCTTTCGTTCAATTAATTCAAACAATAAAGCATTCCTGGATGTGTTTTAATTGTTTATCCCTTTAACAGTAATAGTCTAAATTCCAAGACGGATCAAGCTTTTGATGTCCCCCCCCCCATTACATAATTGTAGGAAAGGCTTTTAAGAAAAATAAAGTACGAAATGATTTCTTAACTATTGCAAAGTACCTCTACTTGTATGAATTTCTTCAGGAAAATAATAATGCTTTGAACATTTAAATAATTGAATTATTGTTTTATACATGAAAACATGTAAGATATCAAAATCACAAAATTAAAATGACATATAATAGATGAAATCGCTTCATGCCAGGCAGTATATATTGCTTGAAGTACTTCAAAATGCATTATTGATCAACTTCAGACAATTTACCACAATGCATAACTTTTACAATTCACAAACCGGTAGTATAAGATTGATGTACGTTGTCTACAAAAGATCAATGTCTATGTATTATCAATAATATATGTTTAATTTTCATACAATTATGACGCTGTAGGAAGTCTACTTACAGTCTTGTTGTAGTATACCTAATAAAACAACAACAACAAAATAACAGCAGCAAACCAACTTATGTTACACCTACATTATATTTTATGTTACAATTATGACTAATTGAACTAAGAGTGAAAACTGACCTAAATGTAGTATTGAATATATTAAACGCAGGAAGTTATACCACATTTAAATTGTATCTGATAAAACTGCAATAAAAATCAACAGACGCTTTCCATTAACTTGAATATTGTTATCTTCATGTAATGTTAACATTACTGACAAGCTGGTTATGACAATCATTAATGTAAGCTTTTAAGTAAGTAAACAAAATTGCATCTTACTAAAAAGCATGTAATTTACTCTGTCAAATAGGAAATAGCACCATTTTCTTTAAGATATAAAAGTAACTTCGTAAATGATTGCCTTTATCATTTGTCTTTAAAGTTATTAATTGAATTTAATTCATTCTCCTGATAATCATAGTTTTTCGTGAAAAAAATAAAGTTTTTGATAAGAATAGCTTACTTATCTCGTATGTACCTTGCATCGTTCAGATTATGATCATACAATGACTTAAAGGTGACCCATCGGAAGCCTTAATCACAACAAAATTAACTGAAAATTCCCGACTCGGTTTGATTGAGTATGTCCATGAGAGATAACAAAAAGTGCAACATCTCTCGTGATCCCTTGTACCGGCTTAAGCGTTACCTAATTTTTAACTCTTTTTTCTTTTTTTCTGAATAATACCCTTTGAAATTTCAAAATAATCCATTTGCAAACAGCGTTTTAATACTATTGTTGCTTTGCAATCACCAGTGTCAAAGAATATTTTGCTTAAATTATGAAAATCATCTATTTCATATTAATAGATATGGTAACCTAGATACATTAAACCTTTACTGGAAAGACAAGTAAAAGTCTAGGTTCTTGTACTTTTCAATACAGGACCAACGATAACTTTTGACCCAACCCTTTTGTATCTGCACTTGATGAATATGTTTGTAAAATTATAAAATATTATTGTGTGTTTTGTACAATAGAATATTTAATATGTGTTTTGACTTAAAACAGGCCTTGCGACCAAAAAATAATTAATCATATTTGTGATATTTTAAAGAAACAAAAATTATTATGCATTACAATTTAGTATGTCTTTTAATGTAGGGAAAATACAAATATATTTGAAATGATAAAATATGTCTTAGTTTTCAAATTTCTCGTCTGGGCCGTTTGAATTTCAGTATGTTATTAATCATCCGCACAGCTTAAGCAATGATTTTAGATTTGTCTTTGTTTTTGCAGTAGAATGAAAAAATAAAATATCTATTAAAATTATAGTGTATACATGTATGTGCTTTCAATAAGTGAACAAATCTATCCAATTGGATTTGATGCCAGACGGAATCATATCACCAGCCTTGTTTGGTTATTAAACCGAATGATTACGTACTTGAGAAAATATATAAAACACGACAGTTTATGTTTATTGTACTTGAGATTATAATATAATTATAATCTGTTTTTGTATATGAAGAAAAAATAGTAACCGACAAGGAAATTACAAATCAAAGAAAACCAATAAATGATTGATTAAAAGGCCCATTAAGTAAAAGGACACAGGGGAAGGGGAAAGGAGGCTCGGGGAAGGGGGGGGGGGGCAAAATTAAAAAAAAAACAAAGGGCAAAGGGCAAAAGGGAAGATACTTACCGTAGACGAGAAAACAACATATCAAATCATTTCCTCTTTTAACCTTGACTTACATTTACGTTCTATAAAAATGTTTTTCGTGACAAATGCCATTTCTGATGTTGACACAAAGTATACCATGTCAGCAATATCTATCATAACCAATTGCTTATATGACAACATCACTAGATGTCCTGTTGATATACATGGTGATATTAATTATCTTTCAATCAATCAACTGCAATGTTTCAGCTTTTAGTATATAAATATCTGGTAAAAGTGATCCATAAACAGCATTAATATCAGTAAAATTACATAAAAATTGTTGACTCGGTTTGATTGACTGTGTACACAGTGCAACATCCATCACCCTCCCTCGCACCGGTCTGAGAGGTAAACATTCCTCGTTAGCAACAGCTCTAAAATCAACAATTGTATGAGAATGTTGCACATGTTGTTTTTTCAGTCAGAAAACATAAATAAAAAAGGGTTTATGTTCCATAACAAGAGCTTTGACATGTTCATCTTTGCAGTGCAAAGTCAAAACTTTAAAAACTTTATCTTTAAATGTTCCCTTTAAATATGATTTAATTTCACATTAAACATACACATTTCTAAAATACTTTTTTTTAGTTTTGTCGCAAGTCGATCAAGTATATATACTTATTTAGAAATTTTTTTAATTAAAGATCCTTAAAAAATTAGGAACTATTTAAAATATAGCCATTGCATCGTGTTTTGATAACTATAATGTAAAAAATACCGGTTTTCCATCATTTGCCTTTAAAATTATTTCCCATTGGCGACGACACTAGCTATAATTCTATCATTATCCTCTTTTAAGAACAAATGTTAAAATAATTTGGCTCTCCTATAAACCCTTAAATTATAGCATGCTTGCGGCAAATGATACAATCAATGTGACCATACAGACTCATATTAGGCGGCACTTCCATATTTTAACAACAGGATGTATTCTCATTATTTTACCAACACACTAATGACCAATTAAGTTGAGGATACATAAACCAAATAACAATATATGTAAAAACATGTTGGAAATGATCTTGGTCGAGATATCGACATTCTGAATAACTCATCTGATTAGGAGGTTAATATTTTACACTTGTCTAAACCAATCTGTTCTTATCTCTTGCAAAGTCTCTTTCAAATTAAGCTTGGTAGTTTTATGATACAATTTATAAGTTTACAGCGTATATTTATAATATCAACATCACGACATGCCAATTTAAATCGCCGATTCTCATGTGCTGTATTGTGAATTTGTTTGTTTCTCTGGCTTTACGACGCACTAACACAGTACAAGTCATATGGCGCCGAAACATTTACTATGATTTTGGATAATCTCGGTGTTACAAACTTCAAAGCAACACCAAGGATCATAACCGCTGAAGCTAAGATATACATAGACTCCAGTTATTCGAACCCATGTAGTTGCCTCTTATGATCACGCAGGCATAAACGACGGTAATTCTTATGCCTCAACAAACCCCTCAGTCACAAGGGGCAGTATTATGAAAAGATATACTTAATATTATAAATGTCATTTAGACTTTAAATTTTTTTTATTATTATAAACGAGCTCAGAGAGCAAGAAAATAAATATTTTAGCAAAAAAGCATAATTATAAAATAATATTGTAAATGTTCATTTCAGTTTTTGTTGCATTTCAACATCATATTTTAAATTAATACTGTGACTGTAATTAGAAATTTATGAGAGATTGCAGCAAAATAGAGAGAATTAAGGAATCCCTAAAGAAAGCACAACAAGACAAAATTGAAAATGTTGCAGGCTCGGTTTGATTGAGTCTGTTCATGGACGGTAATGGAAAGTATAAGTTACCGTCCACGTCCCCTAGCACCGGCTAAAGCAGAGCCGGACAAAATCACCGTAAAAATTGTTGTTTTTTTTTCGACCTTCTTTCATAAATGATATCTATTATAATAATAGTCCTATTAACACATGTTAATTGTTTGTAACACCTAACTGGCGAATACTGGTATTTTAAGTAGATTTCTTCACATAGCAGTTAGAGCTACAGCGCAAACGCCATAATGTGTCATGCAATTAATTGTATTTTATAAGGTTTTTGTTATCGTGAAGTACGTTCTTCTATTGTACCTGTAAATATGTTAACACCCATCGTGACAACTGTTACTGATACAGGTCATGGACATTTTGATACGTTAAAATCGTCCTGTATATGTAGGTTATACATAGATAATTATTCTTGTTTATGTCAGTAAATGAATGTGCAATAACGTTTTTTTATTCTTATGTAATGAATTGTTATTTAACATTTTATGCCATCAATCTCTTTAGTTCTTATTAAATGTTTCTTTATAACTTACACACAAAAATATTGATATATCGCGTATTTCATAGAAGAGAAAACAAATCAATATAATGTTGATTGATATCACTAGAAATATATATATACAAGAGAACAGTTAAATTTTACTTCGACATGGCCCGTCAACAAGTTAATTACTAGGAAATGGTACAAATGTAATCGGAAATCAATGATTCAATTCAAAAACAGTACGATAAACAACGTATATAATTTGACATAATAAAATTTCTTTCAAGATCAAAACAAATTCGGTAAACTTAGAATAATGATGATGATAAAAATAATAATAATAATAAAATACAATCAATATAACGTTGATTGATATGACTAGAAGTTATATATGTTTGGAAGAGAAAAGTTAACTTTCACTTCAATAAGGAAGCTTATATTTCTGTAATTATCTTTGTATAAGCCTCATTATAATGATTATTATTACTACTTTTATTATTATTATTATTGCATAAAATATTATTGTTGACATATTTGTCTGCACTAACTACAATGTACTTGTAATTTCGAAGTTTCAAATGAGCGGCGGTGTAACAACGCAAAATGTCCGTTCCGCAACACGGTCGTATGCGGTCGTTTGCGTTGCAAATTATCCACTTAGTAATGTACTTGTTATTTTAAAGTTTCATGTAAGCGGCTTAGTAAGCCTTGTGCAAGCAATATGGTCTGAGTTACGACCGGAGTGTGCACGAATCATAAGCTATTGAACAGTGAGACTGGCAGGTGATCAGAAGAGCAAGCGACTACATGTAGTAGGCTAACAGACTGACCCAAAGGAATATCGCCGACTTTAATAACCAACTGAAAGAATAGTCCAAACTCATCCATCATTTATATGCGATAAATTACCTTATTTATAAAAATGAACTTCCATGATTTCATGCATGCATATTTCTCAACTTTTTTCGGCAATTAACACCAGCTCTTCTTAACTAATAAACAATTTTCTTTCAGAGTTATGACTAGTACTCGTAAATGATATAGTATTACCTTAAATAAAATCCCAAAGTAACAATATGCCATAACCACAAGTGGGGTGAACAAAACGCAAACGTACAAGGCGATCGTGTACGTCAAGTCTTTCATCCTTTGTGATCTCCAATTGGGTGCACAAGATATGTTTATTCCTTCATGGGCAAACGATCCCCATCCTATCAGAGGGGTTATTCCCCAGAATAAACCTAAAATAAAACACGCCATGATACAAAGTTTAATGTTTCTTCTTTTGTACATTCTTGTTTTTGTTCCAAATATCATGATGAAATAGCGATGAATGGACAGTCCAGTTAGAAGGAATATTGAACTACTTCCTAAGAGCGTAACAAGAAATCCGTCCAACTTGCATCCGTACAAACCAAAAATATATTCTTGCGCAAAGCTTGCTATTATCAAAAACGGAAATGCGCCGACAACGATAAGTAGATCGCACACTACCACAGAAACTATCCAAAGATTCGTTTTACTTTGTAATTTCTTATCTGAGCTATAAAGCACCAGCACCGAAATATTTTCAAAAAGAGCAAAAACAAACAAAACAGACATTATAATTCCTATCACAACTGTATATGCACCGTGCTTAGACAAATACATAGACGCGTTTGAACTATTCATTTTTGTTTTATATATTTCTGTTCATTTCATTTATTCTCTGTGTATTATATTCATAAACATTGACAATCTCGGTCGTTTCTCATTGTCACAAACAGTTCTTATCATCTTAATATAAAAACCGAGCATATTGATACACGTCATAAATTGCAATACCAGAACAGCATAACGATTATCTGGTGACTATTCGGAGGACCAACTTAATGCCAAGTTTTCCAATAGCAACTAGTCACTTTTTACGTATTGTTGATACGATCGAAAACATTGTTAATAAGTAACAACGACATTTTAGCAAAAAAAAAAAAAATTTTCCCTCAAGTAACATTATCTCCCATTAAACTACCCCATTTAAACATACATACACTTGATTTTCTTATAACCAAAGATTTTATTATTCTATTGTAGAGTACGAACATTTGGAGCAAAAATCTACATTGATTTATAAGCATTACTTGCCGGTTAAATTTGAATGTAAATTTGTTATATTTGTCAGGATTATTATTTTATTTTATTGACCATTTATTTATGAAAACATTAACGCGCTCACTTAAATATTCCATTCACCTGCGGTCCGCCTGTTCTATTCGTTTTATTTAAGAGAATCTGTTATACTGAATATTCCATTTGATATTTTGAAAAACCACACTAGCTTAAAGAAATATTTGTCATCAAATCTGTAACTGCACAATTGGTAAGCTACAAGTATTTACATTACATTACTGTTTCTCTTAATTTTTGCATGGAAATGACGGAGAGCAGCAATGCAAACCACTATTGTTTTGTATTTTATTCTACTGGATTGACCCTACATTCATTGTTTATTTTTGTAGTTACACTAATAATTAAGGTTTTTTTAATATTTTAAAATGGTGCCATATAAAAATTGGCATACCTAACCAAATTAAGTCTAAAACATACTAAAAAACAAAAAATATCACAAGAAAAACACACACATAATGCAACTAAAATAGTCGAATATCTTCAATGATGTTGAAAATGAAGATGAGCAAACGAAATGGACCTTCTTCATCTCGGTCTCATGATACACATAAAATGTAGAAATAAAAGAAACGTAGCTTTCCTTATTGCGTTGTAACGCTAAGTTTACATTTTACTATGGAATGATATTGAGGTTAAAATTACGCAATGCCTGCTTACTGTTACAATTAACTCATTGACACTGCTATTGTGCTTATTGGTACAGTCACTATGCATGCTTGTACTTTCATCACGCTTGTTGACAATTACACACTTCCTGCTTACTGTTACAATTACTCATTGACATGACACTGCTATTGTGCTTATTGATACAGTTGTTATGCATTATTTCATCACGCTTGTTGACAATGACACCATGCTTGCTGGAAGTTACAACTGGTTTGGTGTTTAGTCCCTGATGCCCATTTGAGTGAATGACAATGCCATCTAGCGTAAAGGTTTTTTCATCATGCTGTGCCAGTGGTTATCTTTTTTAATTTGTAATGCATACACAAAGTGATCAACCAGTTTGGAAAATGTTATCAGGCACTAGGCAAATATAACTAAGCATAATGTCATTTCAAAACTATGTCACATTTTGATAACAGGGGGCGCTATGTTCTAGTCGTGTTTCTCCGTAATTTGTATATATGGAAAGATTATCGTGGATATCCGAATATATATAGACAGATCTATCAATAGTAACTTCCCCTTCTTTTCAATTTGGCATTTGTCGTAATTTTATATAGCAAAAAGATTACAAAAAGACTGTCGGGCTATTCTTTTACCCGTAGCATTGACAATATACAAGTTTGCTTCTTTAAAAAGAAGCCTGCGAGAGGTCTTTTTGCTGCTGTGGAAAATTTGTTTAATTCGAAAATATTTGGGGATATTTTTGCATAACAGACACAATGAATGTTATAAATAACAATTACTAAACAAAATAGAATTTATCATATACAATGTATATTGCAATGAAAGTTTGTTTAATATTTCATTTTTTTTTAAGTTTTAAAAGATTATATGCCGGAGAAATGGACTTTTTTCTTGGTGCATTAGGGATACTTTTTCTACAAAAAAAAAAAAATGTAAAATTACTCAATGTAAATTAAATGATATATATCATTTACATTTGTATTTCAAATACAGTTCCCTTTGTAGAAAAATTATATACATATTAGAAGTATTTTCAAAATAAAAAGTTCTTGTAAAGTTCAATAAGCAAATTTTCGGTCACTGTTTTGTTAAATATAAGGAAGCATTTCCTCTACATTTACCAAAACGAGTATAAAGTATGTTAATCAAACAAGTTTACATAAAAAATGTTGATATCATTTGATTGGAATAAACAGTAAATACTGTTATATACTGTTATACTGTTATATACTGTTTATTGGAATAAACAGTATATAAAGCTGCATGCCTCCAACAACAATTTCAAAAGAAAATCAAACTTGAGATAAAATTTGTGCCATTTGCGCCAAAAAAAAAATATCCCTTTGCGTTATTAACATATACCGGTTCAATACACGGTTTCTTTCGGTCATATAATATGTTTGTTTGTTTCATTGTACGCCTTTCCCCAACAGTATTTTAGTCATATAGGCGGGTAGTTTCCTAACCATCGTTCCTGGAGAGTTACATCAGTACTAGAAAATCTTCCTCCGCGCTAAACTAACAAAAAAGCATCTCCCGGGGATCGAACCCACGCCAAAGAGTTTCCTGGATTAAAAATCACCGACTCTAACCCCTCGAACACGGAAGCGGTATATATAGTGTATGATGATATTGTAGCTATAATGTTCACTGTAACTATTTATCAGAACATGAAATAGTAAAACGTTATTCAGAAAACAATACGGTAATCGAGTTGTACAGTTACGGAATGAAGCATCCATGCACGTAGTGTTAAGTAACGTAAATGATATTTTCCGATTTTTCTATGTACCGATTTGTTCACTTCGATGTTAATTTTCCGTTTAAGTTAAGCGTGGTTTGAAACGGGGCATGATCAAAACATTTTTTGTAGACTGCTCCTAATGATTTTACGCTTAAAATGAGATTCATTCACTGCAATCAGATACGCAAAAATGGATGCGGCCAGCAATCAGTCTGAACACTATGGAGAGGTCTGATGACCAAGTATGTATGCATGCCATAACGTCCAAATATATGCCATAACAATTATAAAAAATTGGCTGGACTGGACTGGACTGTGACAAGTAATAATGATGGTATATCTAATTTGAGTAATTTGATTTGATTTAGGGGCGCTCGCCTTCTACATCTCTTAAATTAAATTGTTTTTTTTTTAGAAATGGAGGGCTCGTGAAATTCCAAAAATTAAGTAGGGAGGTGGGGGGGGGGGTGATTCCAGGGATCCGGGATCGTATTAGATGTAGAGGGAAAACTAATAAACTATTTGTACACAATAGTATGAATACACAGAACGGATGCGGTATTTCGGTCTAAACTACGCTAAAAAACTAAACATGTAAACAAATAGTAATTTAATGCTGGGAGTTGTTGAAAAGTTTATTTTCAATATATGTAGTGAAAGTCCACCTAGAATAAGTGAATTCATAGGTACAAAAGCAAACAATACATTATTTATATTTTTATTATTATTGTTGAAGAAACCGAAAGTACAAAAAACCAACCTGTTGACATTTAGTTGGATTTGTTTATAATTGAACATCAGTGGGCATATTTAAATTACAAATTGTTGTCAGATATATTTTCAAGCAAAAGAGTATCGGAGCAGACATTAGATGTAAAACATATACATTCGTTTTACATTATCTCTGTTTCTGTTTACACCTGAAACCACGAGGTTATCATAGATAATAGCCGAGGCAGTTCCTAATATATTTGTATAATGATTATTGTTGTAATGAAAGGCGATTTAAAAACGTTAAGTTTTTATTTCTTATTGTATGTAATAAACGGCAAATTAATCTAACTTAGGATGTAAATATACTAAGAGCTATTTATTAACAAACTAAAAATGCGGAAATCACAATACTTATAATTATATGCCCAATTAATTGAAATTTTTTTAGACTAATACATATAGGGATCCCGGGATCTGACCAATTTGAGAATATAGACTATATTCTTAAATTGGTCAGATCCCGTGATCCCTATATGCTTTGATACGATCCCAGCTTTTCTGAAAACTATATTTTTGAACTGGCCAATTCCCGGGATCTTTATATATTTAAATACGATCCCAGCTTTTCTGAAAACTATACTCTTGAACTGGTCAATTTCCGAGATGCCTATATGTTTTAATACGATCCCGGCTTTTCTGAAAACCACATTCTTGAACTGGTCAATTCCCGGGATACCTATATGTTTTAATTCGATCCCGGCTTTTCTGAAAAATATATTCTTGAACTGGTCAATTCCCGGGATCCCTATATGTTTTAGTTCTTGAATTGATCAATTCCCGGGATCCCTATATGTTTTAATTCTTGAATTGGTCAATTCCCGGGATCCCTATATGTTTTAATTCTTGAACTGGTCAATTCCCGGGATCCCTATATGTTTTAATTCTTGAATAGGTCAATTCCTGAGATCCCTTTGGGACACAACTGATGGGAAACGGGTTAGGCAACAGCTAATTAAAGTCCGGTATATTTCGCGGAAACTACGAACGTGCGCCCCCTGGTATCAAGATGTGATGTGCAAATTTGCAGTTCACATTATGCTTACTTTCAATTTGCTAAGTGGCTGATTGCATCTTTCATTTTGTTTCATTTTGTGTGGTCACATCGTGTGTATTATTCTAGGTGCATTATAACTGTGCAATAATGAAAAATCAAAGCTAATATACAGTCCGGCATGTTGAAATATTTCATTACGCTACATTCAGCCATATTGATATCAGAGACTAAACACCAAACAAGTTGTAACTTCCATCAAGCATGGTATCATTGTCAACACGCGTGATGAAAGTGCAAGCATGCATAATGACTGTACTAATAAGCACAACAGCAGTGTCAATGATTAAATTGTAACAT